GTTCACTCTGGGACTAACATTTTGTTTGAGCATTCTGGTGGGTCTTGTTGAAGGAAGTGACATTGCTGTTTTGTTCCAAAAGAATTTATCTGAATGTTGATCTACAAGTGAAGATTTTGATTTGTTGAACATTTCTCCAATTTCTGGTATATGTTCTGAGTGTTCTAGTTCATAAAGATAGAATAAGAGTGGAATTGGTCACCAAGTGTAAAGAAATATCAGTATGTTGGAAGTATTGTTAAATCTATGACACCAGATGCAGGGAGTGAATGCAGACAGTGGTGGAATGAGCCTGATGCCTGAACCCTAGAGTAGGCCTTAGTACACCCCAGAACCTTGTGTCAAATCTCTATGAATTCTCAGTTCCCCAGAACTGTCGGCATATGAAACCTTGCTCAATAAGAATTTGTGTGGTGTTTTAGGACTCAGTAGTCATTGAGGATGTGGCCGTGGACTTTACCCAGGAAGAGTGGGATTTGATGGATGTTGCTCAGAGGAAACTCTACAAAGATGTGATGATGGAAACCTTCAGAAACCTGGTCTCAGTAGGTAAGTATGATGTCATTTGTAAATTTATTATTAAGTGAGCATGTATATCCTATTCAGCAACCTTGCTCTAGTATTTGCACTGAAGAGTGGGACTGCATTGTTATACAGGACAGGCTTGATCATTTCATCTATGGATCTTAAATATCCTGGCTCTCTCTGTGCATAAAGCTGATGTATTAATCTGGGTTTTTGTTTGTCTTGTTAAAAGCCTTGAGGCTCTTTCAGTATAAGAATTGAATTCAGGCATTACTTTAGAGCACAGAGAAAAGACATATTGTTTAGGACCTTATAAAATGTTTCACTGTGTTTATTAGAAGTGACACATGATTATTTTGCTGCAAATAAATTCACACCTGCCCATCACCAGAGACTCTGAAGGCTGAAGTATTGTCTCAATGTCAGGAAAATATTAATTATTTTTCACTGTTTTTCCTCATGCTGTGCCCTTCATGCTGTGCCTTTCTCCATGAGCACCATGTCAGCAACACCCATTTGTTATGCAAGAAAATCAAGAGAAATACCTGAGGAGAGTGAAAATAGGACATGCAGAGCAACTGTGTCAGGGACCACCAGATAGGGAAGAATCTTTTGAAGGAGCAGCTCTGGATAGAAGGAATTGGATTTAAATAAATTAGAAAAGTCAGTTTTGTGTTGAAGAGACTGAACTTAACAGGCCTGATCTTACTCTTCTTACTTTGACCAGTCCCCTCACACCTGTGTTCATGGAGAAATATCTTCTCTCTTTCCTCTGACATATACGTTGAGCATTTCCTTGTAATGTGTCCAGTTTTTGTACGTTTCTCTCTTAATTACACTCTATTTGTTTTACTGTTGTTCTCAAAATTCAGTTTTCCTAGAAAATTGCCTTTTGGCCATTACTAAAGACCTAAAAGAGTGAACTGTATCATTCTTTCTTTGCTCACAGCTGCCTTTTTCCTCCTAATAATTTCTTTCCTTTTTGTTTCATGGTGTGACCCTCAATTTCAACTATTGGGCCAGTTTCTGAAAGGTTGAGTGATGGAGAAAAGTTATCAAGTGAATATCTAATGCTGGGATTCATGAAGAATAACACATGGTTCTCCAAGTTAAATGTCAGTGAATTGAGTGGCTTTGCAGATCAGCATAAAAATCAAGGAAGATGTGTGAGGTGAGTATCATTCACATGAGAGAGCAGTGCCTCAGGAGAAAATATTAAGATGTCATGACATTAAACTTATTGTTTGTGTGTGTGTGTGGTGCTCTGGTGGCATCATGGATAATGCATTTGGCTGCTAAGCAGAAGGTCAATGGTTTCAACCCTACCAGCCGCTCTGCAGAAGGAAGATGCTGTAATCTACTTCATAGAGATTTATAGTCTCAGAAACACAGTGGGGTTTGCAGTGAGTTGCAGTTATCTCGATGGCAGACAGTTTTTGTTTTTTCCTTTTTTTATGTGTGTGTGTGTGTGTGTGTGTAAAACTAGTTCTCACATTGTATGTTCACATTATTTTCATGGTATATTTTCATGAATATGAGTTAGATATTCAATATTTGAAATATATTTCCCTTATACATAAATATAAAAAAGCTTTATATTTTGGAAAAACTAACACTAATGGTAGATTCTCTGCAATATAATTAAACCTATGAAAAATGGGACAACTTAGAACAAAAATTATAAAAATTCACTGTGTTTGGTAATAGCGGAATGGGAACAAATTTAATCCTATTATGCTTCCTGTTTTTAACAGAAGGCGTATGATAAAGAACCTCTTTGAAAGTATTGAAGAAAATCAAGGTGGAAAAACCTTCAGCCTCATTCCAAAACTTCCTGTGTTCAAAAGAACTGCTACTGTTATAAATTCTTCTGGATGCCATGAGTGTGGAAAATCCTTCAGTGACCGTTCATCACTTAAACATCGTATCTGTCACTGTGGTTGCAAAAGTTACCAATGTAAGAAACGTAGAGAAGCCTGCACTTGTCCCTTGGACCTAAGCACTCCTGTAAGAACCCTTCCTGAAGAGAAACACTATGAATTTAGCAAATATGAGGAAAATTTCTGTTGTTTATCATCCTTGTGGACACATATAAGAGGTTGTAAGTATGAATGTAAGGAACGTTGGAAGAGCTGTCCCTCATCATCCGTTTTACATAAAAAATGTCATACTGTAGAGAAACCTTATAAATGTAAAGAATGTGGGAAAGCCTTCATTCGTCCCTCGTCCCTCACTGCACATACAAGAACTCATAGTGGAGAGAGGCCTTACAAATGTAAGGAATGTGGACAAGCCTTTAAATATTCCCCAGACCTTGCTATACATACCAGACTTCACACGGGAGAGAAGCCTTATGATTGTAAAGTATGTGGAAAAGCCTTCCGTCGTCCCTCAGCCCTGAGTAGACATAAAAGAACTCACAGTGGAGAAAAACCTTTTGAATGTAAGGAATGTGGACAAACTTTTACACATTCCTCAGGCCTTGCTTCACATATAAGAATTCACACTGGTGAGAGGCCTTATGAATGTAAAGAATGTGGGAAAGCCTTCAGTCATCAGTCCTCCCTCACTACACATGCAAGAACTCACAGTGGAGAAAGACCTTATGAATGTAAGGAATGTGGACAAGCTTTTATACATTCCTCAGGCCTGACTAACCATACAAGAGTTCACACTGGAGAGAAGCCTTATAAATGTAAAGAATGTGGGAAAACCTTCAGGCAAACCTCATCCCTCACTATACACATGAGAACTCACAGTGGAGAAAGACCTTATGAATGTAAGGAATGTGGGAAAGCCTTTAATCGATCCACAACTCTAATTTCACATGCAAGAATCCACACTGGAGAGAAGCCTTATGTATGTGAGGAATGTGGAAAAGCATTTAGTTGTTCCTCACACCTTGCTGTCCATAAAAGAATTCACACTGGGGAGAAGCCTTATGAATGTCCAGAATGTGAGAAATCCTTTCGTAGTTCCTCAACCCTTGCTACACATATGAGAGTTCACAACGGAGAGAAGCCTTATAAATGTAAAGAATGTGGGAAAGGCTTTTATCGGTATTACTGCCTCGCTGGCCATTTAAGAAAGCATAATGGAGAGAAGCCTTATGAATGTAAGGAATGTGAGAAAGCATTTACTCATTATTCATCCCTTGCTAGACATGTAAGAACTCATGGTGGAAAGAGGCCTTAAGGGTGTGTGAAGAGTGTGGGAAAACCTTTAGTTTGTCCTCCTCCCTCTCCAGACATGTAAGAACTCACAGTGAAGAAAGGCTTTATAAATGTATTGATTGTGGAGAAGCCTATAAAATTTCCTCAGTCCTTACCAGAAAAAAGTTTACACGTGAGAGAGACCTAATGAATGTAAGGAATGTGGGAATACCTTTTAACAGTCCTCCCACCTCACTAGCCATTTAAGAAGGCACACTGGAGAGAAGCCTTATGAATGTAAGGAGTGCAGGGAAGCCTTTAGGCACTCCTTATCCCTCACAAGTCATAAAAACTCACAGGGAGGCCTTATGAATCTAAAGAAAGTTGTAAGTCCCCTAGTAACTCCTTACACCTGGCTAGAATTATAAGAGCACAGAGTGGAGAGACTTCAGGAATGTATGGGATGTGGGAAATCCGTTAGTGAGTCCTCATTCTTTACTAGGCACATAACTCATATTGGGGAGAGATCTTGTGAATATAAAGAATATGGGAAAAGCTTTAGTCCTCACTGAACCTCAGTAAAATCAAATGTGGAGAGACATGAATATAAGGAATGTGACACAGCTGTTATTCATAGCTCTGACTCAACAGCAGTGGTTTTGTTTTTTTATCTTACAAGAATACAAAATAAGGCATAGTGAAAAGAAAGGTGATGGATGTAAAGAAACTAAAGAAAAGCCTTTAGTTATTGCTTCTCTTCTGTAGGCATACTAAATTACAGTGGGCTCTTCTCAGTCAAGCATACCTCTGCAGTTTGATTCCCCACTGTTGTCCTTTCCACTGACAGCTGGCCCAACTCATGGCCTGTGTAGCAGCCCAATCAGTTCTCTTAGCTGCTGCTTAGCACCAGTTTTCTGTTACCACCTTTTCCACTGCCATCTCTCTGTTCCTGAGGGGCTTTCTAGGTGTTACAGCTCTTGCCTCATATTACAACTCTTTTAGGAAGTTCCCGCCTCTATTTCTGCCCCCTTTTGGTGTTGCCACTTATGTAAGCAAACTCCTTGTCAGTTTGAAGCCATAGTGCTCTCTACAGAGCAGTGATTCACCAAAACACTTGGTGGGCTGCAAGTCACCCAATCCTATCTGGTGTATTGTGAAGCCATTGTTTGAATAGCAGTTGACTGATCTCTGTGAGATGTGTTAAACAAACCAATTATAGGGGAGACCGTGGCACAACCAGTAAAAAGCCACATACTTTTTTACAGAACTGCAAACCCAGAGCCAGAATGACCATGTATAGGAGAAACCCATGGCCCTGCAGAAGAGTATAAAATAGTGTGAACATAATGCTGTCAGTTTGTGAAATATTTGTCTATTAATGTACATTTTATAAATGTCAGCAGTGTTGCAGAGACAGTCAATTCTAGAACATTAACAGAGATTCTCCCCTGAAGGTGATAATTAGGGTTGAATTCTTCTCTCACTTTGCTTCTCCTTGGATTTCAATATTTTTACATTCATTGTTCATTTTCTGTGAAATTTTTTACATTTATTTTTGTTGTTGTTTAAAAACAGTAATTTAGTTTTGGAATCTGAGTGGATGAGCTCTGGTGGCATAGTGCCTAAGGCATTTGACTGCTAACCAAAAGGCTGGTGGTTCAAACCCATCAGTCACTCCTTGGAAGGAAAGTTGGGCAATCTACTTCCATAATGACACTGTCTCAGAAACCCAAAGGGGTTGCTATGAGTTGGAGCCGACTTGATGGCAGTGGTTTTAATTTTCATAATCATTTGCAAAATGAAAGTACAGAACCAAAATTCTCCCTGGTGCTGCCCCTTCTTAGACAGACTTTCACCTGGCCGTAAATCCTTACCAGCTGTCCCTCTACATACATTGTATTGTATGTGTAGCTTTTTGACTCTAGCTCCTTTCACATAACGTAATGTGTTTGAGAATCATCCATGTTGATGGGTGTACCTCTGTCTGTTGTTGTTGTTTGCCTTTGAGTCGACCCCGACTCATAGCGACCCCTCCTTGGGTTTCCGAGGCAGTATCACTACGGAAGTAGGAATGCCCAACCTTCCTTCCGAGGAGTGGCTGGTGGGTCTGAACCGCCAGCCTTCTGGTTAGCAGTCAAGTGCCTTAGCCACTATGCTACCAGAGCTCCTAGTCTAGAACCCTTTAATTGATGGTTAGAATTCCATTGTAAGGCCATGGCATAGTTGGTCTTCTTGACAGTTTAAGGACATTTGTATTCATGGTTATTATGAATAAAGCTGATATTTACATTCTTGAACAATCTTTATGTTGACTTAATTGTGTATATCCAAAGGAGGAGTGTTACTGTCATATGGCAGATGTATGTTTCACTGTATAAGAAACTGTCTATGTGTCCTTAAAGAGGCTGTGCCATTTGTATTGTCACTAGCAATCCACAACTGCAGTTACATTGAGATCTGGAGAGGCTGATTTCTTGTGTAATCAGTAGTACAGTTCCATTTGGCACTGGTGTCAAGTGGAGGAAGGCATTCAGTGGGGTGAGTATCTTAGTTTCTTAGTGCTGCTTAGAAATCATACTTGTGACATGATTGGCTTAAGACACCATACAATAATGGGGCCTCATTAACAAAAACCCTGTTCCCATTGGGATTACATCCACAGTTATACCCACTGCCCTTGAGTCCATTCTTACTCACAGCCACCCTTTATGACTGAGTAGAACTGCCCCATAGGGCTTTCAAGGCTGTAAATCTTTACAAAAGTAGACTGCCTCATTGTTCTCCCATGGAGCAGCTGATGGCTAAGAACTGAGGACCTTTTGGTTAGCAGCTTAATGCATGAACCACAACTCCACCAAAGGTCCTTACCCACAGTTACAGGGGTATTTACAGCACATATTTTTGGGGAACACAATTCAGTCTGTAATAGTTCATCTGACAGGCATCCACACATCTGCTGAGGGGAGAGACTATCCTGTAGGAATCTCAATGAGACCCATGTGCATGGGATGTCAGGCTTTCCCACCTGACACTGCCAGCCCGGTCAGAACTCGGGCTAACCAAGTCTTTTGGAAAGAAAATGTCTACAAGGTTCCCAGCTGCTGGAAGTGGCCTGAGGCCTTCCCCATTTCTGTTTCTATTGTGGAAACCACAAGTGGATGTGGACATCTGAATTAGGTCAGCTGTTGTGCAGCCAGCTTACCACTCACAGTCTCCAATCCTGTGTCTGATGTGTGATTGCTGGATTTATGGTAAACTTACATTTAGCTTTCTAAGAAAATGCCAGAGTTTCCAACATGGTCATATGATTTTGTATTCTCTGTTGCTCGACTTCCTTGCCAGCAGTATTTTGGATATTAGCTCATGTAGTAAGTTTATAGTATTATCTCAGTTGTGGTGTAATTGTCAATTCTTTAATGACATGCATCTTTTCATACGTTCATTTGTCACCTTCTTTGGTGAACTATGGTTTCAGATATTCTGCCTATTTTGTTAATTTTTTTTTTTTTGGTTTTTGTTGCTGGATTTGTACAGTTCTTTGAATACTTTGGAAATATGTGTTACAGATGTTATAGTATACTTTGATATCTAGTGTGGCTATTACCCTATTTTTGTTTTTTCTCCTTGGTGATTTTCTGGATATTTTTCTGTGTTTGCATTTCCAAATAATTTTTTTTTGAAATGAATTTGTTATGAATTACCTTAATGCCACAGAGTTGATGCATTAATTGGGATTTAATTAAATTTAGAACCTAACTTAGGAAGACTTGGCATCATTATGGTATTCAGAGGTCCCATCCAATAACGGAGGAAGACATCATCTGATGATTGTCTACAAGACAAAGAATGGAAGTATCCCTGACAGACATGAGAAACTAGGAGTAAAGCTCACAAAGGGAATCCACATGGCCGAGACCCAGATTTTGCCTTTGACCTTGGGATCTGTGAGAAAATAAATTTCTGTTCTTTGCAGGTGTTTATATTATAGTAGCACTAGGGAACTAATGTTTGCCTTCCACCTGATCAGTTCCTGGCACTGCACCTCCTGTCTGTCAATGTGGTTTGCATGTCACTGTGATGTTGATCATGTTTTATTGGAACTTTCAGACTAAGGTGCACTAGGAAGAAAGGCCTGGTGATCTAGTTCTGAAATGTCACAACCATTGAAAACCCTATGGAGCCCAGTTGTAAAAATGGCATGGTGGAGGTGTCTAACTTTTAATTTCACAAAAGGGAGAGAGAATCAGGGTGAACTGTTGAAGGCTGATACCTGTGAGGTGGAAGTCAGACATAACCTCCTCTCCAAACTTTTTACGAATTCTGATACCAACTGTCCCTCCTACACTACTTTGTACTTCTCTGCTTAGTTCAATATTTGGTTGCAATGGCTGCACAGTTTTCACATAACTCACAGTGATAGGTTGTATTAGGGAAGTAACAGATTGCATTTCAGGTTCCGTAATGCTCAGGGTAAAATCCTTTGATTAGGACAGCCTCTTTTCAGCTATGCTGTTTGCTGGTTTCTCTCTCTAGTGCTCAGCCCTGTGGTTCTCTTGGGCTGTCCTAGCCTCTGCCCTACTTGGGCAAGTGTTACAAAGCTCTTTTCACTCCATTGATAAATGGCCAGAGGTCCACCCACTGCCTATTTTACCAGCAAGCTTCCTGTCCAGCGCAATCTGCTTTCTCACTCCCTGGGCTGGAACACCTGTGCTTCTCCTGGTCTCCTTGTTCTGCTGTCACTGCTGCTGTTTCTCGGCCACTGCTGCTAATTTTCTTTTTTTTCTTGATGCATATTATTGAAATGGATAAAAGCCTTGAACCCGGACAGAAGAGCAGTCAGCCCCAGGGTTACAGGTGAGGAGAGACAACGCAGGGACGCCCAGAGTAGCAGGCCAGAAGAG